TTCAACATCAACGGGTGAGTTAATTTTTTTTTCTTTTTCTTTTCTTCGTTGAGATGAGAATAGTTAGGGTGAGTGAGGCACGTGGAGATTAGGGCTTCGCCTTATAAGAAGAACTTCCGGGTAGTCCCTAAAAACCCGGCCAGCAACTGCCTTGGTGTCCGTGGCACACGATCGGGCCCTCAGACTCACTGGCATATGACATCGGATGAGTGCATGTGGATGATGTGCGTCTTCCCGCGCGTGCATGAGTATTACGCTCGCCACGGCTCCACCAGGATGGTTCCTCGTCGCGCGCGCGCGTGCGAATAGAATAGCTATGAAATCAGTTTTTCATTCAATCACGATTTATTTGTAAGAGAAAGAGAACAAACAAAAATAAAATTCATCATCGTATTGAATTTCGTTCGATATTAAATTTTTGCACTCGTTCATTTCCGAAATCGACGACATAGAGATTGCCATGTCGATCAAATGATAAACCTATGGGATAATTGAGTTGATTCGATTGTGCTCCTCGACCATTTCCACCAATAATGACACTTCCTTGTGTGGCTCCTTTTGGCCAACGCATGATTCGATGATTCCCAAAATCAGCTACATAGACAGTACCCAATTGATCAACAACGACTCCTTGAGGATTATTTAATTGTGTAAGACTATTTCCATATTCTTGGCCACCGGCTACGACAATGCCTTGTTTTGCACCTTCTTCCCATTTCATTACACGATGATTCCAATAATCAGACACATATACTGAATGATCTCCATCGACAAATACGTAGTGGAGTGCAGAGAGTTGATCGAGACGATTTCCTTCTCCATTACCGCCTGCAACCACTGTTCCTTTAGTATCACCAATTTTATATCGTCTCACTTCCTGTTTTTCTACGTCAACGACATAGAGAAAACCACTGTCGTCCATTGTCAAACCGTAGCAAGAGATATTTGAAATAATTGTTTCTCCACGAGTACCATTTCGACGAGGCCATCGAACTACTGTGTTATTCCCATTATCGGAGATGATGAGACTATCGGTCTCTTTGTTGATAATCACGTCTTGTGGCCCCCAAAACTGATGAGCTTCATCTCCTCTTCCATTTCCACCAGCAACCACTTGTCCATTCTTTACATCAGATTTCCATTCCACAATACGATGATTATAACGATCAGCGATATAAATCGTTTGATCATCGTCGACGTACAAACCCCATGGGCCATTGAGTTGATTGGTTTCACTGCCTCGTCCATTTCCTCCAGCAACAGTTATACCATTCTGTGACCATTTTGCATTCGGATGAATACCAATGGAACTTGCACGCATTGGTACTAAAATGAAACAAAAATATGAAGTAAAAATAAACATCGATTTCATTGAAATGAGTCATTCTCATTTGTTTTAAACAGTATTGAACTGCTCTCAATTACAAAAGCTTTTTACTTATGAACTTGATTAGAATCTGGTTTTTCTCAATGTTGAAAACAAAACATTCTTGATTTTTTTCAAATATTTTGTGTAAGAATCCTTAGTTTGACTAAAACTAACTAAAATTTAACTGGTTAGGTGAAAAATTGCGATGAACTCGAATTTTATCGTAAATGAAATTTTCTTTTATATCGAATTTCGTTAGTTCGAGTTTGAAATATGTTTAAAAATCATTTCATTTTTTTTTGTTTGGATTTTACAATAAAATGAGTTATAATGGAATTTGAACGTAAGGAAAAACAATTTTGTTACCAGTTGATAGGAAACGGTGTATGATTTGTGTTCGTCACACATTTCTGAGTGAAATGAGACAAAATAAATTTGCAACCTTTATATGAATTCGTTAAAAACATCTTGCTAGATAATAACAATAGTTAATTATACTTAACTACCATGCATAAGACGTTTTTGACTGATTCATATAAAAAAATTACAAATTTTTTGTGTAAATATTTTTCTTTCTCATTCCATTTACGAATGTGTGACATATATAAATCATACATCATTCGAAAGTATTTTATGCCATGAATTTTGCATCATACTTATTATTGAGTAATTTATTCCTGAATCTCAAACAAACAAGTAGTTTGTAGAAAGGCTAATCGAAGTGCTAAATAAGATAAGTTTAGATAAAAAAAATACGTAAGTTCGAATTTTAGTAGATAAGAAGAACTCAAAAACAAATCTTTCCCAAGTTCGAGAATATTTGAAGAATCTGCCATGTTCATTATTCTGCATTGTACGACAAACAATGATCTATATACGAATCAATCAAATCTTTTATTTTGAATTCATTTCTAATGTATTACAAATTTTCAACTTAATAGGGTATGGAACACGTTTTTTTTAAACAATAGCAGTTTCGATCACGGATCGATTTCG